CCGCCCCGCCTCCTCCTCTTCCTCCTCCTCCTCCTCCTCCTCCTCCTCCTCCTCCTCCTCCCCTTCTCCTCCTCCTCCTCCTCCTCCTGCTGCTAGTGGCATCAGAGTTAGATTGTGTCAATGTGGGCAAACGCGACCGGGGCCCTCTGAGCGAAAAATCAATGGGAAATCTCCAGGGTACTCTCCAAGGTGAGTTTGGCCATTTTCACAATCTCCGGAAAATCTCCCCCTCAAGAAAACTCGGCGGCAATCTTTAGAGCATCTCCGGACTCTGAACATCTCTGGGGAAACCTCCGGAAAGTCTCCGCGGTGCAGAATCCGTAGCCATTTTGGCTCCAGTTTGCACGGAGTCTCTCGCGGACCTCGCCGTGCTCTGCACCAGCTGTTGTGCGTGCTGGTGGCCAAGGCCCCGAGGACCGGCCGGCGTCGCCGATGGCTGCGCGCGCCACGTTGGCCGTCGCGTCCTTTGTGCTGTTCGCGGCCGTGTGGCTGCTCCTCGACTCGGGCACCGTGGACGGCTTCGTGGCACAGGCGGCGGGCGCCAGCGAGGGCGACGGCACGGCGCTCCGCGGGGTCCGCCGGCTGACAGGCAGCGGCGACAGCGGCACCACCCAGATCCGAGAGCGCAACTCGCTCGGCCCCCTCGCCAGTGCGGTCTGGCAACTCATCTACGGCGCCATCTACTTCTTCGTCATCGTCAAGAACTACCCCGAGCTCCAGGGGGGCCCCACCGAGAAAGCCAAAGAAACCCAGAGCAAGAACGAGCTCATGGCGTTCTTCACCTGCGAGAACTCGTTCGTGATCAATCTTACTTCTTGCTGTTGCCCGGCTGGCCGCGCTGCGCACACCTACGACAAGGTCGGGTTGCTGCCCTATTGGCCCGGCCTCTGCCTCAGTGCCTTCTTCCCTTGTTGTACACTCCTTTACATGAACGCATGCACTGACTTGAACGAGAAGCTCGGGGGAGAGAAGAGATCGATCCCGATGGCAGTGATCTGTTCATGTCTCTTCCCGTGCTGCGTGATCGCTCAGGACGCGCAGGCACTGGACGACTGCACCGGCGTCGCAGTGGGTCTGTGCGGTGTTGAGCAGGGCGACGGCAACAGCGAGGACTCCGAGTAGTCAGGTAATGCTGTGCTGCAAAGTGCTACGCCCATCGTGAACTTACCATTGCTCTTCACTTAATCGGTTTATCTCTGGATTGGCGGTGTCGCCTGCCCCACCAGAGAAAACGGCCTAGTCCACCACAGGACATGTTATAATCATATATAATAATTATGAGAGGCCTCTTTGTTCAGGCGCTAGCTCTTTCTCTTGCGCGCTCTCTAGCTTCCCCCAGGTCTCACCTTGACCCGTCTTTGACTTTACCTGGAGGTGGAGAAGGCGGCGGCTTCTGCTTGCTCCTCTCCATCCCAATCTCTGCGCTTGTGTGGGCTTGCAGCCCGAGTGGGCAGACTGGCGTCAGGCCAGCGTGTCTACGAGGCGAATATTCACAATTGGTTTAAAGCCTCGTACGGGCCGACGGGTTGGTGCTGCCGCCTCGATTCGCGCAAAAAAGTCTCCGCGGTGCAGAACTCTCCGGAAAGTCTCATGAATATCTCTAGAACATCTCCGGATCATCTCTGGGAAATCTCCAGATACGAATGCTCATGCATATTTGCATGCGTGTATTCATATATACATATAACGGGGGACCGGGTCCGGGGGCCGGGGGCCAGAGCCTCGACTGCAAATGTGGGGCCCGGGGGCCCGGGCCCGCCTCTGGGAGGCCTAAAATCGCCCCGGGGAGCCCTCAGACAGCAATCCCGGCGGCCCCAGACGGTCTCGAGACACCCCCAAGACGCCGTCCAGGGGTCTCTGGCGACGGACGATGCGTTTTAAACTGCCCCAGAGGCCCCCAAGACGACGCCCCAAGAGGCTTTTAAGATGCCGCCCAAGAGCGCCCCGAGAGGGCAAAATCGTTGATTTTGATTTTGGTTTTTGTTCAATGTTTTTTGCATCATCGCTATTTCGTGTTCCCGGCGCTAAAGCACCGCCCAAAAGGCTCCCAAAACCGTTCCAAGACGGCCCCAAGAGGCCCCCAAGAGAGCCCCAAGACGGCCCGAGAGAGCCCCGAGACGGCCCCAAAGCCGCCCAAGACGGCGCAAGAGGGTCCCAAGAAGGCCCCAAAAGGGACCCAAGAGAGGGATCGCGAACCGAAAAATCAAGATCTCCGCCCCAAGATGCTCCCAAGAGGCCCCAAGATGCTCCCAGGAAGCCCCCAAGAGGCCCGAGGCCCCCAAGAGGCTCCAAGAGGCCCCCAAGAGGCCCAAAGAGGCTCCAAGAGGCCCTAAGACGGCACCCAAAAGGCTTCAACATTTTTTCAAAGCCCCGACGACATGCCAAGAAGGTCCCATGACGACTTCCAGAAGCAGTCCAGGATACTCCGAGGAGGCCCCAAGAAGCTCGCTAGAAATTGAGCGCGCGCGAAGCGCGCGCGCGATGGTTCTATAATATATAGCGTACATGGGTATCACGTCTGAGTAATTATTTACACATGTGGACACATGCACATATGCACATACATATACGTACTACATGTGTTTGGTTTTGCAACTTGTTGCTTATGTATATGTTCATGTGCTACAAGGACATAATGTAATCGATGGTGCGAATTGCTTTATATCACACCAGAGATTGGATGTCTACTCGTACATTGCAGGCGTGTGCGCAACACACTCATTCACAGCAACATATGCGTAACCAGCTATACGTGCGCATGTGCGTACATAAATACATAGACGGATGCACCTGTATAGCTGTATGTGCTCGCAATCGCGTATCCCCTTACGTCCCCTTTGTAAACCTGTGTGCACGAGAATATTGCATACGCGCCGAGCCTTGGCCCGGGAGTGCGTGCAGGGGTTCTCGACTTTGGAAGCCTCCGGCGCTCTAATGCCTCCCCAAGAGCGCCCAAACACGGCCACAGAACGGCCCAAGACGGCCCAAGTTGGCCCAAGAGGTAATGTGCGAGTGCGTCTGCTCCTGCTTTTCCATCTCCTAATCCTGGTTATCCCTCTCTTCCTCCTCCTCCTTCTCCTCTTACTCCTCCTCCTCCTCCTCCTCCTCCTCCTCCTCCTCCTCCTCCGTCTCCTCCTCCTCCTCCTCCTCCTCCTCCTCCCATTCCTGAACGCTTAGGGGCAGATCGAATGGAGGCGGGGGGACTGCGGGAGACTTGGAGGGGCGAGGAAGATCAGTCAGGGAGGGAGGCAAGAAAGGATCCGAGGGGGAAGAGGTAAATCAGGGATGCGACGACGATGGAGGAAGTCGAGGGGCAAGCGAGGCTCCTGGCGGCTGGGAAGTAAACTCGCGCTCGATGTGTTTCCCATGGCTCCTGCATCTGGGGGGCGTTTCGCGGCCCCTGGTCAAACGAGCACGAAACAGCATGAGAGGCCGACCCTGGGGAGGCGACGCGGTGCCGTGGGGGGCCACGGCACGACGGAGAAGAACTCCCGGTGCGAGGGGAGGCAGGGGCCCCACCCAGAGGCAGATTTTCAGTCGGGCGCGTCCCTCCACAGGAGGAGTATTCAGCGATGGTCAAGAAGGAGTCGGGGGACGATTTTTTGGTACTGTTGGATATTTTTGGACTTTCTTGAATGTTTCCAGAATCTTTCAATTTTTTGTTCAAAATCCGCCTGCAGGGGGACGTGCCCGACCTAAAGGCAGAGCCGGGGGTCGTGAGGGCATTGTTGGGCCAGAGCGAGCTTTGGCGATCCCACGCGCGCGCCGATCCTGCGCGGGCCAAGCCACGCAGTGCAAAGACAGCCACGGCTGGAAGCAGAAAACCACAGCGAAATAATCGCCATACTTTCCCCCTCCCAGCCGCGACCCCAGCTGCAACTGCGGTCGCAGCTGCGGCCGCGGCTGGAAGAAGAACACCACCGGGAACAATCGCGGAAATTGCCCCCTCCCAGCCACGGCCGCAGCTGCAACTGCGATCGCAGCCGTGACCGCAGCCGGGCCAAAACGCCGAGGCGCAGAGGATGTGCATAGAAATCCAACCTCCCTGAGCCACATGCTTGTCCAGATCCACACTGCGACTCGGGTGCCTGGGGAAGGGGGTGTTGACCTGTCGGGGCCCTCTTGGGAAGGCTCTTGGAATTCTTTTCGGGCGTCTCGAAGGCTTCTTGGGCCATCTTGGGGCCACCTGGAGCGACTTGGACCGATCGGTGCAGCGATTCGACGCGCCCTTGGACCATCTGGGCGGGCACTTGGCCATCAAAAAGCCATGCGCCAACATTCGGGGGGGCCCAGGGGAGCCGCGCCTAGTCCCAGGATGTTTGAGAGTTATAGGTCCTGGAACCTAAATAGATTTCAGAAGTGAGGACCGATGCTCAGGGGCTCGAGCAAGGGTCTTGAGGACGCTCCAACTCGCCCCCGAGGGCACGGTGTCGGGGAGTGCCCAAATTGCCGAGGGCACCCTTGCATCATTTCCCCATGTTTTTCTTCATACACAAGCATTGTCGACCCAACATGTGTCAGAAGTGACGTCCGAGGGCCTTGCCTCATGGTCGAGCGCCTGTCTGACCACGCATCCGTGGGCCCAGCGCAGATCCAGGACACCAGCGCGGACCGTCGATGCTTGATGCGGCTCTGTCCTTCCCTTACCTCCGCCCGTTCCATGCGGCTGGCCTTGTTCACGAGCGGCGACCGTGTCCACATCCACATCCTCGCGATCTGGATTCCGGGGCGCGCTGCCGCGGACAATGCGGTCGCACGGACACGCTTCGCGCGGGGCCTCCGCGAGGCGGGGCCCCGCGTCCGCAACGGTCGCGGCCCAGAGCCCGCGAGCCCGCGAGGCCGCGAGCCCCGGACTTCTTTTGTCCAGAGGTGCTCCTTCGACGGTCCTGGTGCTCGGGGGTGGCTGCCAGACGCCGAGGACGGCGATCGTCTCGTGGCGAGACGTGTTCGGGCCGCTCGAGGCCCGGGTGCGCTGCGAGAGGCCAGGAGGGCACCTGGCG